GCCATTTAGGACAGGATCGACAGATATTTTATTCCACATTGTGACGTAGGGGAGCGCAGGGCTCAAAGTAACGCGGGGTAAGTTGTAACACACGTGGTTTAAATATTTCCACACATTCTAGCATAACCAAATTTACAGCATTTACTAGTTACCATGTAAACATTATATAGAGAAAAAAAAGTGCGGCAAAATTCAGAAGTCTTTTGAAGATATCGCTGAACATTTATTTTTACCATAGTATATTTCTGGTTTAAGTACATTTTTCATCTCAGTTTTTATTACTCATTTAAAATTAGACAAATCTGCTATTATTGTAATCTCAAATCTGTTATTTATCAGTTTAGATTATTTTTGAATGCTTCGCTAACTATCAGAAGACAGTAACCAGTTTTAAATTCCAGCTACGAGAAATAGGTGAATAAAGACTGACAGTCAATGTTTAATGTAAAGCATTTTGGCTCATTTATGTGGGCCGTCCCAAGCATGGTTGCAATGTGTTCATTGTCAAACTCCAAAATCTGATTATTTTTAATTCTTAAAAAACGCCATTATTTTATTTGAAATAAATAATTATTTTATTTTATTGACAAAATATTTTAGTTTGTCTTGTATATTTTTTTCATGCGATCAGATAACATTTTAAGCTGTTATATGGTCATGTTACAACGTGCCCCTCAGATGTTACAATGTACCCCACCTACGGGGCATGTTGTCACATTTCACTTCCAATTTTTGAGGGTAAATAAAGAAAAACGTATACACTGTAATTATGAAACAAAGCGACATATTTGTACTAGACAAGTGTGAAATTACTGTGGATAAAAAATTATACTCTGAACCCCATGTGGATTTACACTATTTGAGAAAGTCAAAAAGTGTTACTTTGTGCCACGCTCTCCCCTACATTAGAGTGTAACAAATGATAGAAAATAAAAAATGTAGGGCAGGGACTTGGTTCCACTCATTGAATTCTGAGGAGGTAGGCAGTGCACTTAAACTTGGACGCAGATTAATGCAAGCTTGGAGTGGAAGGTTTAAGCAGATTCAATTTGGAGAACCTGACATACATCACCAGAGAGTATTAATTGGACTGTCTGTCGATTAATTGGAAGATCAAGATATTTTGATGAACAATTACAAGGTCAAAGAAAGAAAGAAAGAAGGTATATGCATGGATTAATCATTTGCAACAAGAAATATGCATTTAGAAAATAGATGAATAGGTGAATTTTCATTTCATGAGGACTTTAGGGACTGATGTGGTGTGCATTTTAAATATATCTACTCACGTGAATTCACATTACATGTAGATTTTAGTGTAATCAAAGAAAAAAAAGCGAATAATATTTGTTTTCATTATTGACATGGACAGCTAGAAGTTTTTTATCAATTTCAAATCGAAATGTACATTAAATACAGTATCCACTAGCCATGCTGTACAAAGGTAAAATTAATAATTTAAATGTATGTCAATTTTATAATTGAAATATTCAAAAATGACATTTACTTTAAAATGCAGACTGTCTATCTGCAGAACATCAGGTTTGAACATTCATGCTTTTTTATAGGATTTCGGAAAGGATTTTCTGAATAGATGTACACAAATATGTGGCAAATGTAGAGTTTAAAAAGTAAGATTTACCTAAAACTCAGCGTTTATCTGACTACTATAGTTCTCTCACTTTCACATGCGCTCATGTCACACACAGCGCGTGCCATGCTATGTGCGTCAGTACGGCAACAGCGAAAGGACATTGACATTGACATGTTGCAGTTCCAACCAGTTATCATTATCATAATATGAAAATGTTATAATAACTGATACATTTAAATTGTAAAGTATTTGTACCAGCATTTGTGTGTGTGTGTGTGTGTGTGTGTGTGTGTGTGTGTGTGTGTGTGTGTGTGTGTGTGTGTGTGTGTGTGTGTGTGTGTGTGTGTGTGTGTGTGTGTGTGTGTGTGTGTGTGTGTGTGTGTGTGTGTGTGTGTGTGTGTGTGTGTGTGTGTGTGTGTGTGTGTACCTGTTTTTTCCTTTTTTGATTTTGGGGTGAATCTCTTGACATGTTCTGTGGAATTATTCCATTAAGATCTCTTATATCTTAATATCTTAATTTTCAGGTACATGTCGAATTTCAGAGAACAGGTGAAGCTGGAGAAAGAGGTGAACAAAGCCCCCAGTAAAACTATGGGACCAGCGAAAGTGAATGTGCCGTCGCCACAGAAATATCTACTGAAACACTCCAAGGAACTCAAACTCCCTGAGAGTACATGTCCTGCATTTATTGTTTGAGACATCCTGAGAATTAATATATAATACTGACCTTTTTAAATGCACAATCATACATGCCAATTTCATGTGCAGACGTGTTGAGACCACTGAAGGCATCCTAATTTTGCTTAGATCATTTATTTGTACCATTTCAGAGAAACAATTTAAATATGAAGATGATGAGCTACATAGTAAACCACCAATACCTGCCAGAACAGACAAGCCGCTCATGGGTCTCCACACCAACAAGAACTTTATTAAGACCAACGCTGTTGAGAATATCATGGCATTGCCGAAGAAACCACAGCCTGTGTATGCTTATACCAAAAAGGGAGACAAACAACTGTTGGAGAACTCTGGTCTCATGCCCAAATACATAAAGAAGAAGGTGAGAGGAGAGATTTGATGTTGAGCTTTATGTTTCAGATGCTCTTATATTCCATGCATACAAAGCATACTGTTCACGGTACATACGGAATAGAGTAAAAATAGTAAGAAAAGCCTCAGGCCTGTTTTTATGCATGTTCTCAGGACTATGGTCAAACTCCAGAGTACCTGCACCAGTGTAGAGAGGAAGTGAAGAAAGCACAAGAAGAATATGACAACTATGTCAAGGAACGAATGAGAGAAAATGCCATGAAACAGCTTTCTGGTGAAGAACGCCACAGTATCCTACAGGTAATCAAATACAAATAAACTCTGAATGAAACCATTTCTAATTGTGAATAGCCTGTGTTTCGATGGAAAGCACATCGTCTTCCTCCAGAGCTTTTTATTGCAGAACTTGCAGCATTAATCTCCTGATGAGAAATTGCTTGTATTTGTAGTTGTTCCTCAGTTTAGATAAAAGTATGAATAATGTTATATGAATAAATGTAAATTAATGATTGAACTTTTTTTCATGAATTTTTTTTTTCATTACATTTTGAAGCAGAAAGACTGAAATAGTACTTTCTTGTAAAACACACTCCAATAATCTGTTTTATTTACAACTTTAAAAAATAATGTTTTTGAAAGAAGTCTTTTATGCTCTCAAAGGCTGCATTTATGTGAACAACAATGCAGTAAAACAGTAATATTATGAAATATATCATTACAATAAAAAATAACTGTTTAGAGTTTGAATATATTGAATATATTTTGAATATATGGCATTTATTCTTGCGATGGTAAATCTGAATGTTCAGCATTCTTCAGATTCACATGATATGTGATAGGTTGGGGAGGTCGTGGCCTAATGGTTAGAGAGTTGGAGTCGTAACCCAAAGGTTGCGGGTTCGAGTCTTGTACCGGCAGGGATTGTAGGCGGGGGGAGTGAATGTACAGCGCTCTCTCCCACCTTCAATACCACGACTGAGGTGCCCTTGAGCAAGGCACCGAACCCCCAACTGCTCCCCGGGCGCCACAGCAAAAAAATGGCTGCCCACTGCTCCGGGTGTGTGTTCACGGTGTGTGTGTGTTCACTGCTGTGTGTGTGCACTTTGGATGGGTTAAATGCAGAGCACTAATTCTGAGTATGGGTCACTATACTTGGCCACATGAGAAGTCACTTTCACTGTCACTTTCACTTTCATATGAATATGCTGATCTGATGTTCAAAAAACAGTTGCTGCTTAATATTTCTGTGGAAACTGTTACTTTTTGTCAGAATAGAAAGTAGCATCTATTTTTAACAAAAATAAATATTTTGTAACATCATAAAATACTCTAATTTTGAACAATTCAAGTAATTAGTATTAAAGTATCAGTTTCTAGCAAAAAAAAAAAAACTTTTAAATGGTAGTGTTTAAGAATTATACAATTTTTATATATATATATATTACAAGTAAATGTCTGATGACTTGATGACTTTTGGCAGGCTCTGAAGAAGAACTGGGACGATCTTCATCACCAGTACCAGGGCCTCTCTGTTGTCACAGACACAGCTTCCAAAAAATATAGGAAGGAGCGTCTGGAGCAGGAAATGAAGCAGCTGGAGAAAGATATTGAGCTGATTGAGCGACACAAAACCATCTACACTGCTAATAACTGAACATGATGCTAGTGGCACTGAATTCAGCAAGAATAACATTTAAAACAGGCATAGCTGCCACAGCGTCTTTGCTCGTCCTCTTTTATGGTACTGCAGAAATAGTTTGAAAGGCTTCGGTAAAGCTTTACAACAATACATCTGAGTGCAATAAAGATAATTTTAGATCAACTGAATGGCCTCTGAACGATTTCATCCATTTAAAGTCAACATGAAATCAAAATGAACCACATTTATTGTCTTAATATGTTTCTGGTCTTGTTCATGATTCATCAGTGAACATTATTCCAAAAAATAATGTCTTAAACTTTCATCAAAACATTGATCACCAAGGCTGCATTTATTTGATTAAAAATACAGTAAAAACAGTAATATTATAAAATATTATTACAATTTAAAATAGCTTAATAAAGCTTAAAACATTTTTTACAAAGTGTTGATCAGAAGTGTGGATTGTTCATTGAACCTACATTTTCATCTCTTGCTGAATACTGTGATTATTATGAAATATGCATTGGTGTTAATTCCTAGTCGTTTTGTTACAATGTAATGTT